AGTATTTGGTATTTCAATCCCCCGACGACCCCACCGAATGTCGTCGCTCCCACCCTGATTCCCTCCCTCTCCCTTCTCTCCCGCCCCCTTTGTCTCCGTGCGCGTCGAGCACACCGAGAACGCCGCCACCACCGCCAGAAACCTCCGCCGCGTCGCGGTCGTGTTGGTTCGTTTTCGGCAATTGAGCGCCTGCCAGGGTGGGTTGCACCCCGGATTCTTTTTTTTTTTTTTTTTTTTTCGTTAGTCGACTGCACCCCGTTCAAGTCGATCAGGATATGGCGCCCTCGACTTTGAAAAGGGTCTTTGCTCTCCTCGCCCTTGCCACGATCGGCAGCACCATCACCGTCTCCGACTCCACAAATGGCCTTCCCGGAATTGACGCCCTAGCCACAACACCGTTGCCGATTTCCGCTACACGCAAATCCAGGACGGCTCGCCGACGAGTCGAGCCAGGAAATGGGTCGTCGGAGCCCATGTCGGGATTGGCGGCGCTCGGCTGTGTGCAGGTTCCCGCTCTCGGCAAGGCTGAGATGTCCGATCCTCACATGACGCCGCAGGTCTGTCGGGAGCGCTGCGCCGCGGCGGCAGAGGGTGCTGCATTTGGAATCGCCGCCGCGACGAAGTGTTACTGTGCTGTCGACGTCGCCCTCCTCACGGCCGTAACGGACGTGGAGCCGTCGTGCACGCTGCCAGCCTGTCCCGATGGCAGGCGCCTGCCCTGTGGGGGCGAGGCGGGGATGATGATGGTCTATGCGGCGACGGACGCTGAGGCTCCGGGCTCGGGACGCACAGAGGGACTTTTGTTATCCGAGGCCGCGGGGCGCCACGAGAGCGAGAACGAGGGGGAACGCGTGGAGCTGAGGGCAGCATCTCCTGAAGCGTTTCCTGACGATGGTGAAGAGGACGGTGATGTCGATGAAGATGACCACGAGCCGTCGTCGGCGCCTGGCGGTGTCCATCTCGGCACGACGGCGACGATAGGGATCGCCGTGGGCGCAGTTGCGCTGTCGGGCGTTATCACAGGTATCGTCATGCTGCTGTTCTGCCGTCGGCGACGAGGCCGTCAGGAAAAAAGTCGGGGGACTGACAGGTCCCGCGGGCGGGGGATCTACGAGCGTGCAGGGCCTATGCCACCTATGCCGCCGCCGCTTTCCACCGATCGAGGACCGCGGAAGCCTCACGATGCCATGGCCGTGACTGTCCCATATACGATACCGGAATCACAGGATCGGGGACCGGGTCGAGACACGTTTGAGATGTCAGAACGGTGGAGGTAGTCGCCCGCTCTGGAACCTGAAATGAAGACATGATTCAAGGACAAGAAATGAGTGACGGGTCTTGTGACACGCTTGAAAGGTCCAGCGCCAAGGTTGCTTTCTGGCCATCTATTACAAGGTCGGAGTATCAATGTCGACTGCTTCCGGACTCAGGGCTGCGTGCTTTTGAGATGGATTGAGCAGATAACGAGAAGGAAATCTGCCACACCAACCTTTGAGCAGGTTTTCCACACCATGATAAGAGGCAACGAAAGTCGTAGTTGGACCTTGAACTTAACATCAGCAGGAAACAACCCCGGCGTCGATTCAGAGGTTGCTGGATGGTCATACAGCGGGCGCAGAGTCACTTCGAATGATGCCACCAGCCCCGAACGCTTCCGGTTCTCTACGATTTTTCTTCCTTTTCTGAGATTGAGCGTCATACGACATGCAAGCGAAAAGGACATCGACGTAGCCTTACTCGCGTTTTCCTAGCGCTCACCATGACAAGCACACCATCGCCTTCGCCGACCTCGGATGCCATGCGACATGATTGCGACACACCTTCGGACAACCGCTTGAGTAATGTGGCAAGTCGACGCTCTAGGCCACGGCCCGACGAGCCCTGTAGCTTCTTGGCTACCTTGGCGACAAGCCGGCCGGCGGTGAACCCCATTCGCTGCCCATTGTAGTCCAGCGTCTCTCATCCAAAGGCCTCTACTCTGGCAATCCTCACGAAAGGTTTCGAACCTTCACTTTGTCGGCACATGGACTGACCCTACATCCTTAGTGAATACCCGCGCGGCATCTTAAGCGTTCTGCTAGGTTCCCCAGAGCCGTCCAGACGTTGTCGGTCTGCATTCCGAGGCTTCCATGCGATCCTCTTCGCTACCAAGCTTGCCTCCCTTATGGCCATGCCGGCGGCTGCCGTTGGCATAACTTAGTGGAGGCCTCGCAATATCAGTAAAGGGGGCCACGTGAACGCTCATGGAATCCTCGGGAACCAACTGGCTGACGTGTCGCAGAAAGACGCTGCCCAGCAGAAGGTCGACTTACCCCAGACACCTGCAGTCTGCCTCAGCGTCTGGCAGCAACCCCCTCTGCCGTGCTTGACAGTAGTAGCGCTTCGGTGAGTGCCGAAGCATCAAGCGTTTGCCACACTCAGCGGTGATTTGGCACGCCATGTTACCTCTTCACCCCACATGCATATAGATCATATCGACGACAGGGGTCATTCGTGGGGTTGGTACAGCTTTGAGCCAGAAATCCCGCTAGGACACGGAAGCACGATTGAATTCTCCTTTCGGATAGGCGCCCACGTCGCACAGCGTTCCCTCCCGACGTTTTCTTTCCTATCCTGGTCCTTGCCAAGTGCTGCTGTGTAGCCTGTCCTGCCAATGACATGACCGCGCCTAGGCTTATTCACCATGACTTTGCAGTGCCACCAAGAGCCGCTCGGCTTGAGGACCGCCGCCATTTCCTACTTGGTCCTGTCTTATTCCAACGGCGACGCATTGTCACTTTCACTGAAACCCCACGCCGCTAGAGACTGACTCGGTTTTCTGATGTTCAGTAGAAAGCCAATGCGTTCAACAATGATGGCCGTTCGACTTCAAGGCTGTGAAGTCGGGCAAGCAATATGGGTCAATGAGAGAATGTCTCGAAAGAGAAGCTGTCAAGTCGGTTGAGCGAACCAGAACGGCATGTGCATTTCTTGTGAAAGGCGTCCCATGTTTTCCCCTTTTAGCCGGAAGGCGAGTGTAACTCCGCTACCGACGGCGGTTCTGTAGTTTTGCGTGGTCACCGGGCTGGTTGATATTGCAAGGCGCCATGCCAAGGCAACCGAACCGGTTTCACTTATTGTCCTCTGCATGGGTATCAGTCAACGTCGGCCGGACGCAGTTCATTCCCCGCGATGATGATCCAATCAGGGGCTCTCACAGTCCCCAAAGGCCGCTTGCCACCCTGGTGACTGGTGTGCCGCCGTGAGATGCTGTGCCCTCGACCTCATCTATCGTGCCTTGGTGTGCTGTGAGCCGACAGGCATGGTGGGAACGCGATGAGACGGTCACAGCAGGATAGGGGGCTACAGAAGGGGATATCATGGCCAGAACGGTGGTGATTTTCTCGTGAGACCTACTTTGACGAGCATATAAAGGTGCTCATCTTTTCCCCCTTTGTGGGTTCCTAGAGATCGACACGATCAACACAGTTTCCATAACAGACTCCCTGTCCTCGTCGATCCCTCCTGCACGGTATCTGCTATCCAACCTTTCAAGATCTATTATACCAATACTACCCCTAAAGCACATCATGGGCCTCAGCAAGATCGGCGCTCTCGTCGCTGCCCTGGCCGCTGCCGGCCAGGTCGCGGCTCACGGTTTCGTCAGCGATGTCATCATCAACGGCGTCAAGTACAAGAACTACGACCCTACCAGTGACTGGTACCAGGCCCCGGCCAACCGTCCCATCCGGTAAGAGCCATACCAGCAGCCCTACTCGGACATTTCCACAGACTAACAGATTCAGTGCCGGCTGGACCGCCGAGCAGGAGGATCTCGGCTTCGTTGCCCCCAACGCCTACGGCACACCCGATATCATCTGCCACCGACAGGCCACCCCCGGCAAGGGCCACATCCGTGTCGCTGCTGGCGATGTCGTCACTCTCCAGTGGAACACCTGGCCCGAGTCTCACAAGGGTCCTGTCTTCGACCACCTCGCCAACTGCAACGGCCCCTGCGAGTCGGTGAACAAGAACGACCTCAGGTTCTTCAAGATTGACGGTGCTGGTCTCACGACCGCCCCCTCGACCTACGCTGGTGATGTTCTCATCCAGAACAAGAACCAGTGGTCCGTCCGGATTCCAGCCAACATTGCGGCTGGCAACTATGTTCTCCGCCACGAGATTCTCGCCCTCCACTCCGCCGCCCAGCCAACGCGCCCCAGTCCTACCCCCAGTGCATAAACCTCGAGATCACCGGCTCCGGCACCTCCAAGCCCGCCGGCACCGCAGTATTCCTCCTTCTCTCTCCTCCACGAGGGGCTGGGGTCAACTGGAATGTCTGGGTTCCCCGTATACCCTCCTACCCCGCCCCGGGGGGCCCCCATCGTAGAGGGGGGGGGCCAGCAAAAACCCTTAAGCCCGGTTGTCACCGCCAGGG